ACCGTGATCATTAAGACGAGATGTGAATGTCTATCAGTTGGTCTTGTTATTTGTAAATATAAATTTAAATATTAAATAAAATATGTACATTATAGCATGTTGTTAGGTTTCTTTTACTAAGTATAATAGATTATTCTTCAATATTAAAAGAAACTCAACAGATATAAATCCCTACTAATATTATAAATGCGAAAGTAACTCTGTCTGTCTGTCTGTTTGTTACGCTTTCACGCCTAAACCACTGAACTGATTTTAATGAAATTTGGTACAGAGATAGAGTTGACCTTGAGAAAGAACATAGGATAGTTTTTATTAAAGACTTTCGAAAGGTTCTCTTGGAAACGTGATAAAACCGAACTCGACGCGGGCGAAGCCGCGGGCGGAAAGCTGGTGGTTTATAAGACCTTCTTTCAAATTACTATGTACGAGTACGTACGTACATACAATTCCACTTCACGTGACACTTTCTAAAAATCTTGTTTTTCTTGTAAGTATAACAGTTTAGCCGACTTCGAAGATCAACTCAATTTTTAAGTATGAACCCATTCCTATTTCATAGTTCAACGGTCTATCCAAAATTTATGTCATACGATTAAAAATATGTACAAGAACACAGACACACGTATATATATAAACTTTAAAATATTTTTTTACAGTTTCCATGAACTGAAGTGAAAACTGAAATATTATTTGAATCCTATATTTAAACCTTAGACTTATAAGCTTAATAGAAATAGGTTATATTACCAAATCTATAAATAAGTTTGATTAAACTATAATTTTTAACGATTTAATTCACATAATACACAATGTGGTATTTATTTAGTATTCTTTGTAGTTTTTTCGTCCGAGCAAACTGGGTTAAACACATTAAATGTATTGATAAGACATTTTTTAATACTAAAATACAAAATGACGCAGCCTTCAACTATACCGCACTGGTTCAACGTTGTAAGCCCCGCTTTTACATATGTATATCTTGGCTGTCGTTTAATTCATAATAATAATAAGAAAGAGTTTTTTGAGAAGTTTTATACAAAAATAAATGATACATTTGAATAATTCAACCTTTTCATGTGACCATAAATATTGAAATTGAATCTAGAAAATCAAAGTCCATTCATTAAATATTCACCCAATTTTGTATTATTAAAAATATTGATAGGAGAAGATTTTTTACGTCACTCTTAAAAGAGTATACAGGGTGACTGGTGAATTACTATCAATATTCAAGGAGAATACTCGGTACATGATTCTCATTCGAATTATGTAAAAAAATAGGCACTTAATTTTTGACAAAATTTCCGTATAAATAAATAAAGTGTTGACACGTTCCAAGTGTATCGATAGTAATTCACCAGTCACCCTGTATAATGTATGTTAATATATGTAGAGTAAAAAGCAGTTAGGTATAAAAAAGTATATTTAAACTTACATCATATGCCTATATCAATAAATAGTTTTAATTAAAAATAATCTAAATAAAGTATGTATTATAGTAGACCAATATTTTTAACTCCAATCTTACATTAGTCAAGTCAATTAAAGTATTTTGATAATAAATAAACTTAAAGCTCATTTGTAAAACATATTTAAATGATAAAAATGAAATTGAATAAATATAAGGTTTAAAAATTAACTTGTTTTTTAATGTATACATACATGTAATTTTGAAAAACTCGTAGTTTTTTAAATAATGCTTGATTTCTAAATTAAGTCTTCGGTCTTATAAATCTCGGTTAATTTGTAAAAGTAAACAAATATTTTAATTTAAATAAAATTCTGTTTAATTTTTTTGTTAATTTAAAATTCATTTAAAATCAAAAATATTGTAACTGTAATCACACCATTTTTTTATATTTAAACAAAGAATAAAACAATGTTGTGAAAAATAATTAAAAATTAAAACCACTTTATAACAATACAATTGTATTTTTTGTGATAACAAAAAGTTTTTGTCGAATATATTGTTATATAATGATAATAATCTAAAAATTAATTGTCATCTAATTGGTACGCATGAATCGTTTAATTTAGTGATATTAAATACACATAACTAAGAAATACTAAAAGGAAAATTAAATTATTAGGAGCAAAAACAGGGTCGTGGTGGCCTAGTGGTAAAAAGGCCCGCCTCTCATGCACGAGGACGCGGGTTCGATCCTGGCAAATACCAATGTGATTGTTCCGAGTCATATGTTCTTTATAAGAGTATTTAGACATCACTGACAGATGAAGAAAAACATCGTAAGGAAACCTGGACTTATAATTTCATAATTATAAGTTTGAAATCACCAACCCGTCTTGAGCAAGCGTGGTGATTAATGCTCTAAGCTTCTCTATATAAGAAAGAAGTCTTTGTTCAACAGTGGGCTCTGAGAGGCTGATGATGATGAATAAAACCACATCGAAACCGGTCTACCCGGTTATGAGATAAAATGACACAAAACATCGACGTCACATAAATAATACCCTTTTGTATTGTCGGTAAAAGAATATTAGTTCATACATATATCTTCTTCTTCTACCTGGCAATTTCCCAGCTATTGCCAGGGTCTGCCTTACATGTTGTGAATAGTTTTGGCTATTTGTTTTTACGACCGGCCGTCTGCCTGACATCAACCCTCTTTGGGAATTATTACATATATATACAAAAATAAATTCGGCTTATAACAGTATGAAAGGAAGACTGTGTCAATCAAAAACTAGATTTCAAGATAACTTTTACTTAAAAACAAAATACTTTCCGAAACTATCATATGTACATTACGATGTTTTTCCTTTACTTAAAAGAATTTCACTTGATTTTTGTATATAATCGTAAATAAAATAATATAAATGTTTGTTTGTGCCATACCTTCTATACTTTGATGGACAAATAATGAAACTTTGTTATACTAAAAATAGCATATACCTACTGAGATTGAAGATTGCCTTAATCAACTTATTGATTAATCATATATGGAAAATTTTAATTGTTTATCAAAAATAATTAACAAAAAATATATCTTTTTATATATATTAACTTCCTATTAATAAATTAATAATTTCCGTGTCTCCTTTCACTGTAAGAATAATATATATATATATATATATATATATATATATATATATATATATATATATACAGGGTGACTGGTGAATTACTATCGATATTTGAGGACGTGATATTTGACGATCATATATGACAAAATAAAAATTAATAAATCATAAATATTAATAAACTTCTAAGTAAAGTTAACCAAAAGTTATGTAATTAATTACACATCGTGTGAACACCCTACAGATTAGGTATACACACACACTCACACATACGCATGTCGTGACGTGTTGTTGTATCAGCACGCCGCCGCACGCGTCCACACTTGAACATTTGGAACGTGTCAACACTTTACTTATTTATACGGAAATTTTGTCAAAAATTAAGTGCCAATTTTTTTTACATAATTCGAATGAGAATCATGTACCGAGTATTCTCCTTAAATATTGATAGTAATTCACCAGTCACCCTGTATATATATATATATATATATATATATATATATATATATATATATATATATATATATATATATATATATATATATATATATATATATATATATGTTTTGTAGAAAAAAAATGTTTTTTAGTTCAGTACTAACGTTTGTTAAGATGGACATACAGTTTATACATTTATAGATTTAGAGGAATTTATAATTAGTATTTAATACAGACAAAGTCGAATTTAAAAGCTAGTGTTGACGATATAAAAGCTTCTAATATAAACTGTTTTGAATGCTCAATACTTCCTTCGTAAGACCTAATATTATCCTTATACGTGGAATCGATTGACGTAATAAATGTTTTTTTATTCGTTTTACGGGCACTGTAAACAAGATGTTTATAGCTCACAATCAAAGGCAAAGACGTCACCAGCCAATGGTTATTTTCATGCAAATTACCAAAACCGAATCACATTTTGAAGAATATAAATCATACCAAAAAAAAAATGCCATGAGAACGAAAATGTTCCCACAGTGGTGAAAAAAATATATGATTAATGGTTTTCACATAGTTATTTGGCTTAAATTAATAGAGACGGAATATTAGCAAAAAATTATTATTAACTTTGAACTATTTCAAGGTAATATTTAATAAAACGTAAAATTCCCATCAAAACTATATTAACTTTTTTATTATTTTAGCACGTATTATTGGTACGTTTTTCTGTTTTTGTCAAGTTAATTCCATTTGTTATTCTTATTTTATTATTATTTATTTTATACATATATGATTATAGATAATTTTGGTATATCTACCCTTAAATATACACGAAAAGAATGTATTTTTTTGTATTTAATTTATTTAAAAATCCATAAATTTCCATATGTAATTAGTTTTTCAAAGTTGACAATGATGTATGTAGCTATGTTTATTATAAATAATAAAATTTTCCGCTTCCTTCACAACACGACATTCGCTAATTTAATCAACAACGCCATCTTGATTGACGCTATGTATTACATAACACACACACACACACACAAATACATTAACTAGTTTGTTCTCCTGACTCCGTCTACCTAAGAACAGAGTTGAATTCATAGAGAAATGTATAATGTTAAAACAATACATATAGTAACCTACGTGATAGTGTTTTAATATTAAATAACTTACATACAGATAGCGACATCTGTTGGCGTGATATGTGAATCTAAACTATCTAGAGCGACTGAGAAATGCATACAAAAAAACTCATACAATTTGATCCAGTCTTTTAGGAGTTCAGTGACATACACACATACTGTAGAGTTATATATATACTAGCTGACCCGGCAAACGTTGTTTTGCCATAGAAAAAAATAGGGGTTGGTGATAAAAAGGTAATATTTTTGGGTTGTATGTATTTTTAATGCTACAGTATAAAAAAAAACAAAAATAAAAAAAAATTAAGGGTGAACAACCCTTATGACTTAGGGGTATGAAAAATAGATGGCCGATTCTCAGAGCTACTCAATATGTTCACAAATTTTCGTCAAAATCGGTCAAACCGTTTCGGAGGAGTTCTCTGTCTAATACGACACGAGAATTTTATATATAAGATTATATGTATGTCTGTTTGTTCCAGGACGTCTCGCCGTAATAACTTTCAGCATAGCTACAGTAGTTCTTGGCGTCATACTGTCTTTCGTACCATGGCTCGACTATATCATATTTAAGGTACAGTTTCTCTTTGTCTATACACAACAAATAAATAAGAAATATTAATCTAAAATATAAGCAAAAAATCCTTATTTTTTTAGTGTTAAAACTTGTCAATCTTAAAGATTGGACGCCATTAAAAAGATATTAGCCCAAAATAATACAGTGCAAAAAATATATATATTTATATACACATATATATTATACGCAATTATATGTACAAAAAAATCTTGAAATCAAGTAAAAAAATCGCCAATTCCAAATAATAAAACCAGTATGATATTTTAAGGTATTAGTAATACGTATGGAAGCTATTAAAACGATTAATTAGAAAAAAATAAACAAAAAAATTACTATTAATAAGCAAAATATAAAAAAATATCGAAGTTAGTATTAGTAGTGGATATTATAAGGTTATACCTTTAAAAATTCAATATTTATTCAAAAAAACGTATATTTTAGTAAAGATTGTTTTTTTTTCATACATATATACGTATTATATTAAAAATAAAACGTGGTTATACATACATTCATTAATTGATTTGTATGTGGTTTTTTTCTTTCAAATATTTTGAAATGACAGTCTCAAATATTTTAAAGTATGTAACAAGTGTCGCAATTTACTAAGTACAAAAAAATTATTATTACTATGAATTAATACATTGATTTGGCTAGATTTTAAGAGATATATATATAATTTGTTTTTTTAGTATGAATATTTTGCATATTTAATAAAAATTCATTCATATTTTGACACAATAAAAACTAATTTTAGAATATCATAACTTGCTTGTATATGGTACCAATATAAATGCTATAAAGTCTCTTCTTCTTCCTGAGAATTTCCCAGTTTTAGCCAGGGTCTGCCTTGCATGTTGTGAATAGTTTTGGCTAACTGTTTTTACGACTGGCCGCCTGTCTGACATCAACCCTCTTTGGGAATGCATTAATCAGTGATGTCTAAATGCTATAAAGTCTATGGTAACTAGTAATATAACTTTAGTTACCCGGTTTTGTTCGCTATAAACGATCTCTAAGGATGTAATTAATTTATCAAATATTAAAAATTAATCATAACCTTTATATTAATATTTTATTTCTTTCATATTTATATCACCCTCTCTGATTGAAGTTCTATGACGCGCTAGTATTTTTTAAACTTATCCAATTAAAATATTTTCTTTGGCTGCAGGAACCGGAATGTTAAACGGTTTTTTTAATAACAAAATGTCCACAACATGTAATCTTTAAACATCGATGACTGTGAGGGATTTTAAAGAATAATTCCTATTATTTTGTTTTAACTTTGGAAAAGATTCATATAATTTAGTTGTAAAATTTATTATTTTGATATATATTTACTTATATTTAATTTTAGAGATAATATAAAAAAAATCCTCAAATCGAACTCGTATTTTTTTTGCTCTCTCTTTTGAGGAAAAAAATTCAAGTTTCTAAATAGGTTTAATAGATCAATAATTTTATAAAACAACGATTACCTTTTTTTTAAATAAGCTAATTTGTTTCAATAACTCTAAAGTTTTTTGTTCCAAAAAACGAATAATCCATTCAAGGACAGAGTTTCAAATCATATTTAATTGATGGTACCTATTAATCCTTGTTTTACTAATTAAATTATTTCATACATAATTATATGTATATATATTTTAACAATAATCTAAGCGACACAGTATACACACATTATCAAAAGTCCTATGAAAATCAATTAAATGATTTTCAAGAGAAGATTATCACAATTTTCCCAAAAACTTCAAATTCAATTTTCTTTTTCTACGGTGGAGGTGAGCGTTTAACGCGTTAGATAGGGCTCCCTTAAACCTACACCTGGGTCACAAGTCCCAGTCACTGTTGAAGCTCCTCTCACTACAACGATGGACCCGACACACGTACCGTGAATACATTGAATGATGAGAGGTTTCGTCTCTCTATATATATTAAACCTACACCTGGGTCACAAGTCACAGTCACTGTTGAAGCTCCTCTCACTACAACGATGGACCCGACACACGCACCGTGAATACATGGAATGATGAGAAGATTCATCTCTACTCATATTAAACCAACCAAAATTAAACATTTCTTTTAAAAAATATTTGTCTATTTATAATTATTTTGTTCCAGGAATTGAAATTATGGAACGGTTCGTTGAGTTACAGTTATTGGCAAAGGCCTGGTGTCATCAGGCTGACGAAGGTCTACATCTTCAATGTCACAAACCCTCAAGGATTCTTGGAGAATGGAGAGAAACCAAAGCTTACTGAAATAGGACCTTTTGTTTACAGGTATATATAAATAGACTAGCATTTGCTCGCGACTTCGTCCGCGTAATTTGCATAGAAATATATAGCTAACCAGGCGAACTGTTTCGATTTAGAGGCAGTAAATAAACAGATTTTAGATTTTTTAAGCATATTTTTTTGTACAAACTATTCAAAAGTATCATATTATGTCAGTCTCTTGATTTCAACCTACGTTCCTACAAATTTCCAGCCAAATTTTATAGCTGTTCTTGAGTTATAAATAGTGTAACTAACACGACTTTATTTTATATATATAGACAAGTTATACATGCGTAATATTTAAAATTATTATATATATTTTGTCTTAATTCAGAGAATTAAAACATCTTTTATACATATGTAAGCAAAACAAGTTAGTAAGAAGAACTGAAAAATATACATATGTATGTTTAGTTTTCTATTTTAATATAAAATAATAATATTACTATACAGATCAATATTACTTTATCGACCTTGTCAAAATTAAGAAGGGCTTTAATGATACAGGAAGAAACAAAATTGTTACCGTTTTAATGAAAACCGGTTGAAATTTATATTTAATATCAATATCTGATTTATGTAACAAATTTATTTATTAAAAAAAAATAGTATACACTTGATAAAAATTATATTTAAAGCAAATAGATAGGTATGATTGAAAATTAATTTCAATAATGAGATCTAAGGCTTACAAGTATTCATTTAAATGAAACTAATATTGTTCGTATTACTACGTGTTTTTTATTATTTTAGCTACATACTCCCGACGTTTCGGTTACTTTTCATCAACCGTGATCATTAAGTCTTGTTATTTATCTAACGCCATCGATTCTCAATTTTCTGGCGTACCGCTCTGGATGCAGGCAATACGCGTACTTCTTCTACCTGGCAATTTCCCGGCTATAGCCAGGGTCTGCCTTACATGTTGTGAATAGTTTATGGCTATTTGTTTTTACGACCGGCCGACCGCCTGCCTGACATCAACTCTCTTTTTGGGAATCAACATTAATCAGTGATGTCTAAATACTCTTAGAAAGTACATATGACTCGGAAAAATCACATTGGTACTTACCCGGGCCAGGATCGAACCCGCGACTTCGGCAACGAGAGGCGGGCCCTTTAACCACTAGACCATCACTGACTCAATAGGCAATACGCGTAGTAATCCTAATAATATTAGTTTAATTTAAACTTGAATCTAGGTAAATCTAAAATTATTTTTATCACTAATCTAATTAAATATCCTTGAGCTACAGGATGCTGATAACAGAATGCAGTTTTCAGACTAATTATTATAATTTTAAATTAATATTTACATAAAAAATACAGAAGACATTATATATTTTAAAATAATTCACATTAATACATATGCATTATTTAAGAAAAATATTAAATAGAAAAATTTAAATTTACGTATGTACTTGCAGTATAATGAAATAAATTTGTCATAATAAAAAGGTCAGGAAAATAAAATATACTATTTTTAGAAATTGACCTTTCCTCTCCAATATTAAATATTAAATTTATTTTATTAGATAAAACGAATAGTTTCTTATAAAAATTTTATATCAGCCCGTGATCATTGTTGCAAGGTAATCGATCGGTAGTATGTAGTTAAAAATAAAAAAACGCGTAGTAATACAAAAATATTAGTTTCATTTAAATGAATACTCGCGAAAATTTGATCTCATTAAATCTCCTTAGAAATCTTTATAACATACTATTATTAAAAGCTGGCTATTGTTAAATATATTCTTCTTCAACATAAATTTCTTATAAACTAGCGTCATGATTTTTATAAGACCGATTTCCATGTAACTTTTATTCCCAGGGAAGACATGGAGAAGGTGAATATAAAGTTCCACGACAACGACACGGTGACCTACCAACACAATAAGATATTACGCTTCGTGCCAGAATTATCAGTGGATAAAAATCTCAAGCTGGTTGTACCTAATATACCTCTTCTGGTTAGTTGAAACTATTTATCTTTTAAACTTTATATATAGGGTGACTGGTGAATTACTATCGATACTTGAGGACGTGATATTTGACGATCATATATGACAAAATAAAAATTAATATAACATAAATATTAATAAACTTCTAAGTAAAGTTAACCAAAAGTTGTGTAATTAATTACGCATCGTATGAACACCCTACAGATTAGGTATTAGGTACACACACACATACGCGCGCGGCGGCGTCTTGTTGTATCAGCACGACGCCGCACGCCTTCACACTTGGAACACTTGGAACGTGTACACACTTTATTTATTTATACGGAAATTTGGTCAAAAATTAAGTACCTATTTTTTTAGATAATTCGAATGAGAATCATGTACCGAGTATGCTCCTTAAATATTGATAGTAATATATATATATATATATATAATAGAGGTGGGAGCGAGAGGTATAACAGCTAAATCACTCTAAAACCTACTAAGACTTGAGCCTGTCCAGAATTTACATCAATTTATTCTTGGAACGTAATTCGAAGGCAGCTCTAGTCGGTTCGTGTCAAACTTGTTAGAGAGAGGAGCTTGTACGGTGGAGGTGATCGTTTAACGTTAGATAGGGCTCCCTTAAACCTACACCTGGGTCACAAGTCCCAGTCACTGTTGAAGCTCCTCTCACTACAACGATGGGCCCGACACACGCACCGTGAATGAATTGATTAAGAAATCTTCGTGAATAATGATTGTAAAAAAAATTCTCTTAAATAACAGTTGAAAATTAAACATGACTTAAGTTACAAAATAAGAATTATAGTGCGTGGAGTCCTTAGGAATTTAGAAGTGAAACTTCTTAATATTGTAATAAAAACAGGAAGGGATAGAAATTGTTTTTTAAGGATTTTTTATTGTTTTATTAATACAAACTTTATTAACATTACTTACAAGACAATCTCACTCTTTCTCTTTTTTATCCCCCCGTAGCGTTAAACATTTAACGCAACCTCGTTAGATTCGCAGAGAAGTTTCACTTCCAAAATAAGAAAGGCAGCATCACTTATATATCAAAAGTTACACTATTTTGTACATTTGTTTAGTCTTTAATATGTTATTAGGTATAATGTATGTTTGTTTTTTAGACAGTAACTTCTTTCTCACCGAATCTCGCTGGCTGGCTGTTCAATCTTTTGGCCACAGGTCTTTCGATAACTTACAGAGAGCGAGCCAAACCTTTCGTACATGTCACAGCTGAACAATTAGTCTTTGGGTTTGTATACAAGAATATTTCATACATATTAAATAAGAACTAACTTGTATAGATAATTTTAACTATCTATGTCTCTATGGTAAAGAAATAAAGCATATTTCTGACATAAAGACTATTTTAAATCTCTTTTATATCACAAAGTTAGTATATAAATATTTGTTTAAATTAATTTATAATTTAACTTTATTTTTAACTAGCTTTCCGCCCGCAGCTTCGCCCGCATGTAGTTCGGTTGTGTCGCGTTTCCAAGAGAACCTTTCAAAAGTCTGGGATAAAAACTATCCTATGTTCTTTCTCAAGGTCAACTCTATATTTGTACTAAATTTCATTAAAATCCGTTTAGTGGTTTAAGCGTGAAAGCGTAACAGACAGACAGACAGACAGACAGAGATACTTTCGCATTTATAATATTAGTAGTTATTAAATATTTTAGCTAAATTCATTTAAGTTTTGTTGAATTATTACGAAGTGTTTTTGTGATTCAAAAGGATACGTGTGTAGTGAGGTCATAGGTTCAACTCCTGCGCGTGTTGTTGAATTTATTGTTATGAATAAATTATAATAATATTAATAATATTTATATAGAAAATATCATAAAAACAAAAAAACATTTAACGTATTCTTTATTAAAGAAAAGAGTATTATTTGTTTCTTATAAAACAATGATTTTAAGAGTTGAAGTATAAAGAATATGTAGATAAAAATAACGTATTTTTAAAGCGAATTTATTATTTTTATTTCCTTAAATTACAATATTACTTAAATAATCATATTATGGATGGTAAAAAAATATCTTAATCTAAGTTTTCTACCAGATTATGCCTTCTGAATCAAATTATATTAATTTTTAATATAAATTATGTATAATTTTATATATTTTTCCATAATGCAGTTACGATGATCCATTAGTAACACTCGCACATTACTTTTACCCGAAAGGAAAGAGACCGAACACGCAAATGGGACTTCTGCTCGCTGTAAGTATAAAGATTGATTTAACAAAAAAAACTTACTGATATACCAAAAAAATGCAAAAATAGCTGTCCTAATACAGAAGTCATACAAAGATATTATTATCATCATTATTATTAGGTTTTTCTTATTTAATAATTGCAAGTTGCATTTGTTTTTCTTGTTTTTCCTGTAAAAATTTCTTACTATTTTTTTTTATATTTTAATCTTTTGTATTTCTTGAATTTGTAAATGTGTGTGTTCCCGAATAAACCGTATTCTATTCTATTCTATTCTATAAATTGTCTATGTAATTCATTTTTTTAAGAGGAACGGTACTCTAGAAGAGGTATCCACTATACACACTGGTGAAGATATGGGAAATTTTGGTTATTTAGATCGTATTAATGGCATGGATCATCTACCGCATTGGAGCGACAAACCTTGTAATGATATAAGGTAATTATAATTAAATACACATACATATATACATATATATATATATACAGGGTGACTGGTGAATTACTATCAATATTTAAGGAGCATACTCGGTACATGATTCTCATTCGAATTATGTAAAAAAAATAGGTACTTAATTTTTGACCAAATTTCCGTATAAATAAATAAAGTGTGTACACGTTCCAAGTGTTCCTAGTGTGGACGCGTGCGGCGGCGTGCTGATACAACAACACGCCGCCGCGCGCGTATGTGTGAGTGTGTGTGTATACCTAATCTGTAGGGTGTTCACACGATGCGTAATTAATTACATAACTTTTGGTTAACTTTACTTAGAAGTTTATTAATATTTATGTTATATTAATTTTTATTTTGTCATATATGATCGTCAAATATCACGTCCTCAAATATCGATAGTAATTCACCAGTCACCCTGTATATATATTACTAGCTTTCCGTTCGAAGCTTCGTCCGCGTGGAGTTCGATTATATCGCGTTTCCAAGAGAACCTTTCAAAAGTCTGGGATAAAAACTATCCTATGTTCTTTCTCAATGTCAACTCTATATCTGTACCAAGTTTCATTAAAATCAGTTCAATGGTTTAAGCGTGAAAGCGTAACAGACAGACAGACTTACTATCGCATTTATAATATTAGTAGGTATAAACGTTGATTATTAAGTGACAAACGTGTACCTCTTCGTATGTGTAATGCAAACTTATGGTAAGTTTAATCATCTTTAAATTACGTAGAATGGAAAGGATATATTATTCAAGGAAATTTTCCACCTCCGCTATATTGTACATTATAATTTATTAAGTTGGTAAAATAGACCAAAAGTAGGACTTTTCTCTGTATATATATATATGTACTTTATTGGAGTTTTTTATAAATTTTTTGATTACTCAATTAAATTGTATCGTATAAAACTTTTTTACAATGATTAACTATTAAGATTTTAACAATAGTATCGATGACCAAAAACTTATATAGTATTTTATGAACAAAGATTATATTTTGATAAAATTATATGGAAAGTACCATAATACATATATATCTATGTATATATATTTGATTCCTGAAAGACTTATTTGAGAAATAGCGAGAACACTTAGTATATATGTATATATAATTTTATAATAACATATTTTTAATAGTTAAAAGGTTTTTTTTGTGTATTCAATTCACTCGTATTATATAAGGAATAATCCCACGCCATATCTTAAAATATTACGCAAAGATATAACGTTTTTTATATACCAAGAGTTATTAATTAAAATGTAAATAAGGATATAAAAACTATTAGATATTAATTGATTAAAAATACATGTTTTTTCTGTCTTCCAATTAATAAAACTATGGAGCATAATAATCTTGTTTATGAACTGCGTTTTATATGAGTACGGTGGAGGTGAGCGTTTAACGCGTTAGATAGTGTCCCTTAAACCTACACCTGGGTCACAAATCACAGTCACTGTTGAAGCTCCTCTCACTACAACGATGGACCCGACACACGCACCGTGAATACATGGAATGATGAGAGGTTTCGTCTCTCTATATATATTAAACCTACACCTGGGTCACAAGTCCCAGTCACTGTTGAAGCTCCTCTCACTACAACGATGGACCCGACACACGCACCGTGAATACATGGAATGATGAGAGGTTTCGTCTCTCTATATATATTAAACCTACACCTGGGTCACAAGTCCCAGTCACTGTTGAAGCTCCTCTCACTACAACGATGGACCCGACACACGCACCGTGAATACATTGAATGATGAGAGGTTTCGTCTCTCTATATATATTAAACCTACACCTGGGTCACAAGTCCCAGTCACTGTTGAAGCTCCTCTCACTACAACGATGGACCCGACACACGCACCGTGAATACATGGAATGATGAGAGGTTTCGTCTCTCTATATATATTAAACCTACACCTGGGTCACAAGTCCCAGTCACTGTTGAAGCTCCTCTCACTACAACGATGGACCCGACACACGCACCGTGAATACATTGAATGATGAGAGGTTTCGTCTCTCTATATATATTAAACCTACACCTGGGTCACAAGTCCCAGTCACTGTTGAAGCTCCTCTCACTACAACGATGGACCCGACACACGCACCGTGAATACATGGAATGATGAGAGGTTTCGTCTCTCTATATATATTAAACCTACACCTGGGTCACAAGTCCCAGTCACTGTTGAAGCTCCTCTCACTACAACGATGGACCCGACACACGCACCGTGAATACATGGAATGATGAGAGGTTTCGTCTCTCTATATATATTAAACCTACACCTGGGTCACAAGTCCCAGTCACTGTTGAAGCTCCTCTCACTACAACGATGGACCCGACACACGCACCGTGAATACATGGAATGATGAGAGGTTTCGTCTCTCTATATATATTAAACCTACACCTGGGTCACAAGTCCCAGTCACTGTTGAAGCTCCTCTCACTACAACGATGGACCCGACACACGCACCGTGAATACATGGAATGATGAGAGGATTCATCTCGAATGTATTTTGGTATTAATTAATCTTAAATATAAATTATATTAGTTGCAAATTAGATTGTATTATGACCTATCTTGTGTCGCAGTTCGGGAGAATAAAAACGTATTAGCAACTTAAACATTATATGAAATATTTTAAATTAGTAAAAAAACTCTAAAAATCTAAATTATTTTTTTATATTGTACGAAGTTTTTAAGGATATTTGATAAAATACCTATATGTTACAGAGTCGACAAAAAAAAATTAAATGGTTCGACTAAAATATTTAAATTAATTATCTATCTTTGAAAAAACATGAAAAATACTGAGTTACTTTTTCATTATAATCTTCTTCTCCTACCCGGCAATTTACCAGCTTTAGCCAGCGTCTGCCTTACATGTTGTGAATAGTTTTGGCTAATTGTTTTTACGAGCGGCCGCCTGCCTGACATCAACCCTCTTTGAGAATAAATTAATCAATAATGTCTAAGTACTCTTATAAAGTACATATGACTCGGAAAAATCGCATTGGTACTTGCCAGGATCGAACCCGCACCCTCGTGCATGAGAGGCGGGCCTTTTAACCGCTAAGCCACCACTGATTACAATATTTTTAATTATAATATTATTATAATATATTGTCATGTAAAAGTAACTAAATATAGTATCTTCTAACTACAATCATGACATAGTTGTTTTTAATTGAAATTAGTTGTACATAATTGTCATACCCATATTCTCAACTAACATAGTAAACAATTATGTTATATGTCATATCTTTTTGCTATCACATACTATATAAATCATTATTAATTAGTTTTAAACGATAAAAATCAAAGTCTAGGAATTTTTAATAATAATTGTAAGATAATTGATTCATACCATGACTATTCTATTCCGCATATGCAAAATAACATGGAATTTCCAGCACATTAATGCTAAAACATAATTTAATGTAATATTATTTTGATAATATATATATATTAAGATTATTATTAGTGCTTCAAAATCGAAATAAAATCGACAATTCATTTTTTAAGTTACATTTTATGTATCATCATCAGCCTATCAGAGCCCACTGCTGAGTCTCTTCTCACATGGAGAAGGTGAGAGCCTTAATCACCACGCTTGTAAGACGGGTTGGTGATTTCAAACTTATAATTTGATATAAATCCATGTTTCCTCACGATGTTTTCCTTCATCAGTCAGTGGTGTCTAAATACTCTTAAGTACATATGACTTGGAAAAATCACATTGGTAATCAGGTTTCGAACCCGCGCTCAAATGTATGAGAGGCGGGCCTTTAACCAAATGTAACACGTTTTTTAACATTTTTCCATTAGTTAATTTTACATTGAAACATATATTAACTAATTATAATGGTTATGCAATATGTTAATTGAGAACTAACGCCGCGGAAGACATGTTGTTCTCAAGATGACGCACGCAACGCCTTGACTTGACATACCTGAGGTCAGAATCCTAGAATTGATATCAACATTTAATTGCGTCTAATTCTTAGTAAAAAATATTTATTACATCTCTAAGATAATTTAGATTTAAACTTTGTTTACCTGTCTTATAAAAAAGTCCCTTTTTAGGATTCCGCACGAAATATATCAATTATTCATAATTAACTTGTTTTGCAGAAATTTATAAGGATATATTTATATTATTAATTTTATAATATACATACTATGTTTTTCCTGAGACTTCATCTGCATGGTAACATTTTGTTAAATTCAATATTTTTTAGCTGAACTTTTTTTGTAAGCTATATCTTCATTCGAATTGAAATCTTTGAATATTCTGTTAATGTGATTTTTCCGAGTCATATGTACTTTCTAAGAGTATTTAGACATTACTGATTAATGCATTCCCAAAGAGGGTCGATGTCAGGCAGGCGGATCGTAAAAACAATTAGCCAAAACTATTCACAACATGTAAGGCAGACTTTAGTTAAAGCTAGGAAATTGCCACGTAGAAGAAGATAAAGATAAGTCACGTTTTTCACGTTATTAAAACAATTAATTTGACATATGTATATGAGTAATTATATTGTATAGTAGTAAAATACAATGCTTTCTATCAAGGTGAAGGTTAGTCAGTCAGTGAGTCAAATCGTATTTAGTTAGTTAGTGCAAACAATGCATGATTCAAAGGGTATTTCCTAGTACCAGTGCCAATACTAATGGGATATTAAACTAATCTTTTGTTTGTATATAATTTACGATTATTTGTAAATATGTGACTTTTTCATGAGAATCACGTCATGTTATATAAAAAACTAGCTTTCCGCCCGCGTGGAGTTCGGTTATATCGCGTTTCCAAGAGAACCTTTCAAAAGTCTGGAATAAAAACTATCCTATGTTCTTTCTCAAGGTCAACTCCATCTCTGTACCAAATTTCATTAAAATCAGTTCAGTGGTTTAGGCGTGTAAGCGTAACAGACAGACAGACAGACTTACTTTTGCATTTATAATATTACTAGGGATAAGAGATTTTTATTAATTTTTAATACATATAATATAATTTAGTTCAATAATTTAGGTTAGTTATAATCTTTAATATTTTTAAACTATTTTTGTAGCTTTAACCAAGATTTATTTGTATAGAAAATACCAATATTTTAAAAATATTTAAATTTATTAAGAATTCAATCATTTCGTCTTTTATAAAAGTGTTAATCATAATTATTTTTAACTATATTACCGCATGTAAATTAAAATTATAAACAAAAATGATTAATACATATGAACACTATAAAAAACTTTAATAAAAATTAATATTTTATATCTATAAGAGTAATAAAATCCTTGAATTATGCGAAATTTCGACAAAGTCAATATTTCGTTACCGGAAATCTTTACGAAGGAGAATACAAGTGTTGCTCTTGACTCATAAAGACTTGGCTGAAGCATCAGGTTTTACCATATTTTTGTAACAAACAGACAAACAGTTGATATTGCTTTCTATTATTAGAAAAAATTCACGAATTATACATATATTTAATAACATAACAATTTTCCCAAAAAGGATTAATGTCAGACAGGCGGCCGGTCATAAAAACAATTAGCCAAAACTATTCATAACATGTAAGGCAGACCCTGGCTGAAGCTGGGAAATTGCCAGGAAGAAGAGGATATTAAATAAAATATCAGCCAAAATTAATAAATTCAATATATATTGAAGAGAAACAAAGTTTTTCCTACACTTGTTACTGACGACCAAAAAATTATGTTTATATTTGAAAATATAAAGTCTAGAATAACACTAAGATAATAAGATTTAAAGTTTTTTTGTAGAAATCATCAGATAATTCACGATTATTTTCGTAAATTTTTTTAATTTAATAATATTTTGTCTTACAAAATTTTGACAAAGGAAGTTCAATTCAAATTATATGCATAGATTTATTAAAAAAATAAAAATTACACATAACTATATTATTGTCAATAAACTATTTTATAACTTTATTTATATTATTCATAAAATTGTGCCTATATAACAAATTTATTTTGAAATTACAAGCAAAACCGCAGTATTTATCTTGTTATGATTTTAAGTAACAACGGCTAATCAAACAATGAACATCGATTCTTCAATATTAATATTTGTTCTCTGAGTTTCTAACTAAAAATCAATACCAACATTATATGAAGTTAGTTCCTTATTCTTTTAATAACACGTTTTCTATCGTCACATGATTTTAGCATCTAAAGCTTTTGTTAAAATAGATAATTACAGAAAATTAAAATAGTTTAAAATGAGACGAATCTTCTCATCATTCCATGTATTCACGGTGCGTGTGTCGGGTCCATCGTTGTAGTGAGAGGAGCTTCAACAGTGACTGTGACTTGTGACCCAGGTGTAGGTTTAAGGCCTCGGCCTCGAATTTTGCGTGCAGCGGAGCGGCGACGGCACGGAAACGCATACATTTCTCCAAAATAGCGGGCAGCGGGCACCGCTGTATTCGAGGGTCGGTCCATTTGATTATACGCGTAAGATCCTGCCGCTCCCGCTGCCGTTCCGCTGCCCGCAAAATTCGAGGCCGAGGCCTAAGGGACCCTATCTAACGCGTTAAACGCTCACCTCCACCGTACAAGCTCCTCTCTCTACAATTAAAAAAAATTCTATGAATTATATTTGTTTATGTAAATAAATGACATTGTTGATTATGATGTAAAATAAAGTTGTATAAAGTAAAGTTAAAGTTAAATAAAGTTGTTTAAAATTCCTTTTAACCGATTTCAATACAATTTTCACTGGCATTTAGCTCAAGTATATTCCGTTAGACTTAAACTGAGCTTTACATTTGTGTTATACAAAAAACTAGAATTCAATTTTATTATATTTTAAATAGATACATTACATAAGTGCTAGAGCTATTCTAAATTAAAAATAAAATAAACATAACTTATAAAGGGCCAAATGGAAATATTATGGAAAAAAATATTAAGTAATAAAAATTTTACAAAAACAATATACATTTTTCTTCACTTGACATTGCTACCAGTACAAAAGGTGACGTTCGGAAGGTGCGGGGCGAAGTAAAAGCAGAATAAACCAGTTAAAACGTAGAAAAGAATGACATTCAATAATTTGACATCACACCCACACTATCCATACACTCACACAAAATGCAAAGCTCAGCTTAAACGCACTATAACAAGCAGTACCTTATGTTTTATACATTTTTACATCTAATTAATTAATGCAATAGAAGTTATTTGGACTGTTTAATGATATTTTCTTGTGGAATCTTCTCATAACTCATATTTTGTTTTATTTCCAGAGCTTCAGAAGGATCGTTCTTCCCGCCTCGTCTGTCAACTAAGGAAGACACTGTATATATTTATGACAAAGACCTGTGCAGAATACTTCCATTTACCTACAGGAAGGATGTATACATAGATGGTAAGGCTCACTTATATATATACTCGTACCATAACTTCATATTTGCATATTTCCCAAAGAGGGTTGATGCCAGGCAGGCGGCCGGTCGTAAAAACAATTAGTCAAAACTATTCACAACATGTAAGGCAGACCCTGGCTAAAGCTGGGAAATTGCACGGAAGAAGAAGAAGGTATACTTGCATACATTAATATATATAAAACTTTGATATTTTCCTTCGTTGTGTGTAATATCCTTTATTTGTATATAATGAATCTGTGATACTAATATCTGAATTTACTAAGCAAATTCTTAAAGATATTGCAACTATTTTATATATTTTATAAAGTATTTGACTGCTTTAAAACTGTTTTAAGTGAACAAGTACCATTTGAGATTCATTAAAATTGTATCCAAAACAAAATATTTAATACACTTAAGTGAATAATTTACCTAATGTTATTTTAAGATTATTGTAAGCTTAAAACTAGTACAAATATAATAACTATAATTATAACTAATCAATGTCGTCGATACTTTTCGTCAATCTATTAATCTACTATTTACAGACCAAAATTGCAAATTCCTCAAAATATATAGTTGCAAAACCTACTTCTCAAAAACAATACCTTGAGATGTAACAGCTCTTAATATTAATTAATTTCTTAAATATACTTAAAAGTACAAAAAGCACTTGCTGTTTTGTTCTCAACGGTTAGTAATATTGGTAGACTTATCCAAGTGTTCTTGTTGGGGAGCTAAAATTTCTTTGTAGTATTCTACTTGGTCTACTATTACTCTCTCTTCTGCGTTGGCCAGCTAAAGTTCATCGTGTTCTACTTGGTCTACTACATATATTATTCTTCTACTCGGTTTTCTTCTCCAGGTATACAGACCGGTCTCTACACTCCTCCCAGCTCAACCTTCGAGAGCGCCGAAGTAAATCCTGACAACAAATGTTTCTGCCAAGGAGAGAAGTGTCCTCCACGCGGATTGCAAAATATCAGCCCTTGTCAATACAGTGAGTAACTTGAGTATTAATAACATAGAATATTATATGTAGTGTATGTATCTATATAATAGATATAATACACTGTCTCACGTACCCCACTGGAGGTTCGGCATGCGCTCGGCAGTCTAATGACTAGCGCGGAGCAGAACGGGGACGTGCGTCGCTCTAGGCGGGGTAGTAAGACAGTGACTAGTTATACTTACATGTAGAACCTACAATATAATAATATTTATTTTAGAAGGAAATTAATATTAATCGAAAAGAAATTAACAAATAAATTAATATGTATATGTTTATATTAATATTACTTTTTTTTAATTTAAAATATTTAAATTATTTTATTTCTCGTTATTTTCACAAAAGAATTTGGTACTTTGCTTTTTATATATATTTTTAATAATGAAGACGTTTTTGTTATAACTTTACTATTTGGAAATTAACTAGTATTCTAATTCATAAGCAATCATCAATTCAATCATATTTTATTAAAATTTTCGTAAATATTTAAAAGTATTACATTTCCGTTCGAACACATTTTGCTTGTTTCCAGAGTTATTTAATTCTAAACTTAAGACATTTTTCGCAAATAAATATCCTATCTTACATTTTTTCGCAAATTATTAATTTATAATAAGGAATTACATTCCTTAATAATTCACATAGGCTAGATCATTGCAAAAAACATCCAGCACCAATTGTCACGAGGTTTTTTTGTTATATAAGTAATATTTTTGTCTGCAGATGCGCCTGTTTATTTATCCTACCCTCATTTCTATGATGCTGAACCGTCACTGCTGGAACGCTTCGAAGGACTTAAGCCAGAACAGAAAAAACACGAAAGCTACTTCTACATACAGCCGGTAAACTTACAGTCTTTTAAACAGTCTAACTATAATTAAATAAATTTTAACAATTTCCCAGCTTTAGCCAGGGTCTGCTTACATGTTGTGAATAGTTTTGGCTAATTGTTTTTACGATCCGCCTGCCTGACATCAACCCTCTTTGGGAATGCATTAATCAGTGATGTCTAAATAGTTTTAGATAATACATATGACACGGAAAATTCACATTTGTACTTGCCACTTGAAAAGCTAAAACATCTTCTTTATAAATAATAGATAATAATAGATCAAACAGTATTTGTCGTTAGTTTGTAAAAAAATCTGTCTTCATAATATACAAATATATGGTTTATTTGCGCTAAAAAATGTTATCAAAAAAAAAAAAGACATTGCAAGATATAGAAACTTTTTGGTTGCAACCTAATAATTAAGACGAAAATAAATGAATTGATATACAGGGTGACTGGTGAATTACTCTCAATATTTAAGGAGAATACTCGGTACATGATTCTCATTCGAATTATGTAAAAAAAATAGGTACTTAATTTTTGACCAAATTTCCGTATAAATAAATAAAGTGTGGACACGTTCCAAGTGTTCCAAGTGTGGACGCGTGCGGCGGCGTGCTGATACAACACCACGCCGCCGCACGCGTGTGTGTGTGTGTGTACCTAATCTGTAGGGTGTACACACGATGCGTAATTAATGACATAACTTTTGGTTAACTTAGAAGTTTATTAATATTTATGTTATATTAATTTTTATTTTGTCATATATGATCGTCAAATATCACGCCTTCAAGTATCGATAGTCATTCACCAGTCACCCTGTATAAGGTGTAAGTCTTTGTAAGTAAGTGACCCTGTAAGTCTTTTTTTCTCTTTATTCCAGAAAATCGGTGTGCCTCTTGAAGGACAAGTACGTGTCCAACTAAACCTGAAAGTTGACCGAGCTCCTAACATCATGGTTAACGACATTCACAAATTCCCAGACATTATATTTCCCATTATGTGGGTCCAAGAGGTAAGTCCTTCAAATAATATATTAATATAATGTAATCTAAGACTTATGAGTATTCATTTAAATGAAACTAATATTATTCGGTTTACTACGCGTATTTTTTAATTATAAGACCAATTCACAGACATTCACGTCTCGTCTTAATGATCACGGTTGATGAAAAGTAACCGAAACGTCGATAACATGTAGTTTTTTAAAATTATAAAATACGTGTAGTAATATTTATTTTAATTAAATATATTAATTTAATTCTTCCTTTCAACTCAAAAACTAAGTCTAAAACTTATAGCCAATATGATAAAGGCTTCTGTATTAGTTATTGTTAAATTTTGTCACGAGATATATATGATTGTATTTAATATGAAGATTTTATATTTTTTCTTATTATTACCATTTATTCTTTAAGCCATAAGCAGTTTTCTACCACAAAAATACAGACAAGAGCCATATATACTCGTAAAAAAATCAATATTGCCTATTTATAAGGGACTAGCTTTCCGCCCGCAGCTTCGCCCGCGTGGAGTTCGATTATATCGCGTTTCCAAGAGAGCCTTTCAAAAGTCTGGGATAAAAACTATCCTATGTCCTTTCTCAAGGTCAACTCTATGTCTGTACCAAATTTCATAAAAATCAGTTCAGTGGTTTAGGCCTGAAAGCGTAACAGACACATAGACAGACAGAGTTACTTTCGCATTTATAATATTAGTAGTGATTCATTATGATTCATGGTTTCCAAGGGATTTTATTTAATAATGTCATTTATTTCAGGGTATTGAAGGTGTGAGCACACCAATATGGCGATGGATATTCCTGGCCACAACCTTCGGACCAATCGCCGCTCCAATTATATCCTACTCATTAATAGTCATCGGTCTTGCCATACTCATTCACGCCTTTATAAAAGCGTATAAAAACATCGTGATAGGCGAAAATTCCTTAGAAATAGTTGAAATAGGAAGAGAAACTATTAGACGGAGTTCTACTTTAATAATGAACAGCTCCCAAAAACTATTGGCACACAAAGAAACGTCGTACAGACCGCTAAGCCAGTCAACGCCATCGTCAGCTCATGGCAGCCAAGAGGGCAGGCTGCAAGAACTTAATTTTATCGATAAAACCGATAATATAAGTCAAAGTATCGATGAATTAAAATCGATATTAAATAGGGAATTCGTCAAAACAAATTTCTGTGAAACCGAAAAAGAATCTCTAATACATTCGGACAATGCTTTCATATTATCAGAACATCGTCGATGTAGAGTTTTTAAAGTGCCTGATAGTTATTATTGATAAATATTAAATAGTTTATAAATATTTTTACCAGCTATATCAAACATGATAATTTTAATACAATATTAAACTAATTCCAAATTTTAATTATATTTATATTTAAAATAACAATCTGTAATAAACAGCCTGTGATTAAAAAATATATTTAATCTGTACTTGCTCAATGAATGTTGCCAATATAATAATAAAAATTCGTCAAAAAGTTTACGGTATCGTATTTAATATACAATAATCTGTACAAATGTGATCTATAAATATATTATATCAACATACATAATAAAATTGACCAATAACTAGTCGAAATAGATAGTGTGTTATAAAAAGTACATCGAATTTGAAATAAATATATGCCAAGTTAGATCTGAATATCCTAACTAATGTTACCATATTATAAAAAGAGTATTAAATAAGTTTTTTTTATCTATATATTTTATGTCTTGTAATCTTTTTTTCCTCAATTCGTCATGATTAATACCGATGTATTTTTGGGTATTTTTACGCTTATATTTAGATACGGGGATGTTTTATGGAGGTTACGAGATTTATATAAATGTATCAAATACATTAATATTTTTATATAAATTAGATGCGGATATCTATTAGGTGTTTATAGTCAATTATTTTGGCGATAATTTTGAAGTATTCCTTTTTGAAATTTTGCTCAATTTATGGGGGAAATGTTTAGAATATTTAGGGCTGGGCATCGACATCATCTACAAGTAACAAAGCATAATAAATGGCTTACAATACAAATTAAAACTCTATAATAAATATTGTAAAGCAGTCCTGCAACCATAATAACTTTTAATTTTATCTTAATCATGATATAAAATATAATATTATAACATCCTCCAATCTAATATGATTTCTGAACGATTTTTATGTCAGTATTGTCAAAATTTTAGCGCCAAGATATTATTTGTAATACCTAATTTAAATATAATTTATAATTTTAATCAATCTGTTAGGTGGTGTCGATGTATTTATAATATTTGTGAATAATATATCTCTATTTATTGTTACAATTATTAAATACATTTATATAATTGTCATATTATTCACAAATGGCATAATATTGTTTAATCAAAGCTCATATTAAGCTTTAAAAAAGAAGACTTCGTTCTAAAATCTTAGTTAATGTAAGTACATTCCAATTTATACGTCATGAAAGGGTAGTAAGGATTATTTTATGGTTAAATGTAAATAATTAATGTTTTAAGGCAATTTTGTATTCAATTCCTTGTTTATAATAAAAAATATAAAAGTATATCATAGTTTTAATTGCGTACCTTGTCCTTTTAAGTGAGTAAGCAACAAAGTTGTTATAAAATTTAATTGATTTGCATAAACGTCGGGATATTTATAATTAAATATTTAGTTTAGCATTAGTATACTAGTTTTTTATAGTAATTGCGCGTGAAATAACTAAGTTCAGATGCAAGAAAATCCTTTTTCAGTCATGTTAGCTATATATAAGAATATGTAGCATTTTTTTAAAACTATATAAGGATATATGACATATTAGATACAAAGAAACTAATTATTTTTTACATAGAATACGTATTTATTTTTTACATTGCTCTCAATTTAGAGCCTTTTAAAAATGTTTTTTGTTCATTATTATACAACTATGTGTAAGGAATGTGGTTTATTCCCACAGAGAGTGGATGTCAGGCAGGCGGCCGGTCGTAAAAACAATTAGCCAAAACTATTTATAACATGTAAAGCAGACCCTGGCTATAGCTGGGGAATTGTCAGGAAGACGAAGAAATATAAGGAATGGGGTGTTAAAGAAAATATGATTGCAGTTATTGTCTTGCACAGTTCTTATGAAGCATATTATAGATTATTTAAAAGGTTGGTATAAAATATTCAAAAAATGGTGGCCTAGAGATTAAAGGTCCGCCTCTCATGCACGAGGGCGCGGGTTCGAAACCTGGCAAGTACCAATGTGATTTTTTCGAGTCATATGTACTTTATAAGAGTATTTAGACATTGCTGACAGACGGTGAACGAAAACATCGTGAGCAAACCTGGACTTATCATTTCAAATTATAAGTTTGAAATCATCAACCCGTCTTGAGTTAGCGTCGTGATTAATGCTCAAACCTTCTCCATGAGAAGAGGCAGCTCAGCAGTGGGCTCTGATAGGCTGATGATGATGATGACTCTCAAAATAAAATTATACAACACCTCGCCTGTCGAATACCAGGAAAGATCGAGGTAGAATAAGACCTACAAGTCGATCTAGTTGATAGTAAAATTATATTAAATGCCTAACGATATTAATTATTATTATAGAAGAATTATCAATAAATTAAATTTACGTAAACTTAACCGATGTTGTTTACAACAGAGAATTAACTTAAAGGAATTGAAAGCTAGAAATATCACGACTAAAGTTTCTGTTTGACAACAAAAATTTCTGACGAAGTAGATATTGAAGCTCTAATCGACTTTCTATAGTGACCTACCTTAGACTTATTTAAGCAATTATTACGAGATAACTTATAATAACGCAACGCTTATACTTTTTTTTTGTAAAAGCAATTAGATTAGATGTGAATTTCAGATACCACATCTCGTCTTAATGATCACTGTTGCTGCAAAGTAACCGAAACGGGAGTATGTAGTTAAAATGATAAGAAACGCTTAATAGTTATACGAAAAATATTCGATCTCATTAGTTTTTATATAATTTTGACTAGTTATTGTTTTAAAATCATTCCACCCATTGGTAGCTGTAAATCAACTTACCTAAGAGTAATGTACTATCTCAGTAACAGCCTATTCATCATTTTGAAGATTTCCAAATAATAATTAGAAGGAAACACATCGTATAACGATTAACTACAAGTGGCGCCATCTGTGCCGTACTAATCATAACATACTATAATCTTTAAAATTGTTTTTATGACTAGCTTTACGCCCGCGTCGAGTTCGGTTGTATTGCGTTTCGAAGAGAACCTTTCAAAAATCTGGAATAAAGACTATCCTATGTTCTTTCTCAAGGTCAACTCTATCTCTGTACCAAATTTCATAAAAATCAGTTCAATGGTTTAGACGTGAAAGCATAACAGACAGACAGACAGAGTTACATTCTTATTTATAATATTAGTAGGGATTATATTAATGATAATACCGAACCATTGCAATGTTGTAATGGCATACTGGCTTCAGAAATTTTGTAACACATTACTGGAAGTAATGAACATTGAAAAACAAATTTGAAACTATGTCGAGAAGCCATGAAGCAGATTCCTTTAGTGACGTCACACAACTGTCAAACTTGTATTTTTTCCCCCCAAAATCGCATGACAAATTATTAAGTCAATCATCAAGGATTTAAAATAAAAACTACTGCTTTAGGTATTTTTTATTAATCTTATGTATCAATATTTATAAAATATAATTTTCATTTTTTTGACATTATTAATTGTTTTAATAATCCAAATATTCTGTAGTACTATAGATCAATTAGTTATTTCAAAAAGGATCTAGGTATAAAAGAAAACAATTATGGATATTGTGAAATATTACTCATCTAGACACAAATTAAGTTTTCATTATAGATTTTTAAATATACACAATATTAATGACACATATTCATATTAAAATATATTTCAATCGGTTAAAAAATAGATTAATGTATAAAATAAAAATGATAATTATATGATAAAATGATAATATTTATTAATGAATCCATGCTTCAAGTTGAGACCAGCTCAGTACTAATTAAATACATTTAATATATGAAAAACTATTAATTAATATTAGAATTGTATTTGTTGATTATCATTGGCACTGAAGTGGTATTCATCCCCAACTTGTTCGGGCTCGGCAAGATCTTCCTGTTCTACGAAGTATGTGTCCAGAATATGCAAAGCTTTACGATAAATCTGGGAAAAAAATATATTGGTTTAAGTATGGAGAAAATACTGATAAAATGATTTTCATTGTTCTTACTTCTTCTACCTGGCAATTTCCCAGTTTTAGACAGAGTCTGCTTACATGTTGTGAATAGTTTTGGCTAATTGTTTTTACGATCCGCCTGCCTGACTTAAACCTTTGGGAATGCATTAATCAGTGATGTCTAAATACTCTTAAGTACATATGACTCGGAAAAATCACATTCGTACTTGACAGGATCGAACCCGCGCCTGTTACTGATTTAACTTGTGTTCTTACTTATTGATAGGAAAATTTTTGGTATATGTATATTATTTGGATATAATATATAGTAGTCAGTGGTGGCCTAGTGGTTAAAAGCCCCGCCTCTCAAGCACGAGGGCGCGGATTCGATCCTGGCAAGTACCAATGTAATTTTTCCGAGTCATATGTACTTTCTAAGAGTGTTTAGACATCACTGATTAATGCATTCCCAAAAGAAGGTTGATGTCAGGCAGGCGGCCGGTCGTAAAAACAATTAGACAAAACTATTCACACCATGTAAGGCAGACCCTGGCTAAAGCTAGGAAATTGCCAGGTAGAAGAAGATGTGTGTATGTGAGAAGTAATAAAGTTAATAATATAGTATCATGTGTGAAGATTTATACAATTTTGAATAGATACAATTTTCTATATACATATAGAAGAATTTTCTATATAGCAGATCATCAGAAGAAAGTTTAAGATGAAATATTTTTTATATTAAATATTTTTTTCAATACTAAATAATTACATACTACATAACTGTGAAAAAATTACCTCAAAAGTCGTTAATATGGAAAATATTTCAACTTAAACTTTCTCCTGATAATCTGCTTCCAATGTAGATATGCGGAATTATCTGATGCTAGTTACGAGGATTTGTACTATCCCCGACTATATGTCTTTTTCATGGTATAGATGTTTTACTACATATACCTACATATATATATATATATATATATATCTTACTAATACTATATATAATTGCGAAAGTTTGTGAGTGTGTGTATGTTTGTTACTTCTTCACGCTCGAACGGCTGAACCGATTTTGATAAAATGTTGTATACAGGAAGCTGACGTCCAGGAATAGCACATAGGCTACTTTACATGCCGGAAATCCGCGGGTAACGCCGCGGGGCGCAGTATATATATATACCTGTTCATTCTCATGTTGTTGAAGCCCCTCAATCCGGTCCACTGCTCCAACCTCTTCCAATTTCACACACAGAAGATCCACTTGGGCGAATTTAGCTGCCGCCTGTAAAATATACAATATTGTTTAAAACAAAATCGTTGCTCGGTACATACATGTATATAAATAACTTTTTGACTATATCAGAATAAGATGTATATAAGGAATTTTTATGTATGTAGAACATCCCTACTAATATTATAAATGGGATAGTAACTCTGTCTGTTTGTTACGCTTTCACGCCTAAACCACTGAACCGATTTGAATGAAATTTGGTACAGAGATAGAGTTGACCTCGAGAAAGAACATAGGATAGTTTTTATCTCAGACTTTTGAAAGGTTCTCTTGGAAACGCGATATAAAAAACAAAGTATATCGTTTAATTAGTCTCCGACACCTAATTTGTATAACTACGTTTATAATTAAATATTGAAGCTGTTATTAATTATTGACGCGAAACTTCTAATGCAACATCCAAACGTTGCGTTAAATATTCAACGCGTTAGGGAATAGAAAGAGAGGGATCGAGAGTATATATGGGTTGATTGTGAATGTAAGCAATGTTTATAAAGTATGTCCTAAAACAATATGAATTAACTTAAAATTTTTACTTATTATTGTGATTTCTACATTAATAAGTTTTACTTCTTTCACTTGGAGAGACTCCAAAAAACTATATACATATATATATACTAACAAATTTTGCCAGAGACAGTGCAAAGAATTTAAATAGGAAGACATATCCTGGCTAAATCTGGTAAGTTGCCAGGAAGATATATACTAAACTAACCTGTAGCAAATGAGCAAGGCCATCCAAAACTACAACCACTGTTCGGTCATCTGGGGCTTTTAATAATGCACAATAGGGCTCCAAAAAGCCAGCGGCTATCAATTTATCCAATTGGGCTGGAGTACCACCCAAACAAACATTACTGATAGCCCATGCTGCCTCTTTCTGGCATTTCGCATCACTATTTGATAACACAGATACTAGAATAGGTAAAACACCAGAATCTATAGCTATCTGTATCTGTTGAGTTGTGCCGGCAAATATATTTGATAATGCCCACGCTGCCTCTTTAACTAGTGATGATCTGGAACATTTGAGCAGCGTAGATAATGCTTCAAGGCAGCCAGTTTGTAAAACTCTGTCTGTCTGTTTGTCTGATCCGGTTAACATGTTCCCAACAGCTCTTAAAGCAGGTGTTCTGACCGATGCTGCTTGATGTGTGAGTAAATTAACAAGTCTTTCAAGCAGATGAGGAGTGCTTTGTACGGATTCAATCCTTTCATCTGGTCCATCGGTCAGATATGATAAAGCCCAGCATGCATCCGCTGAAAATATATAATATTATTTATTAATTAAGTAATAGTAGAAGATACAAGATTTTCAAGAGTTTTATCCATTTAAATGATATATTCTTCGGATTATACAAATGTCGGTGGTAGCCTAGTAGTTAAAAGGTCCGCCTCTCATATATGAGGGCGCGGGTTCGATCCTGGCAAGTACCAATGTGATTTTACCGAGTCATATGTACTTTATAAGAGTATTTAGACACCACTGATTAATGCATTCCAAAGAGGGTTGATGTCAGGCAGGCGGCCAGTCGTAAAAACAATTAACCAAAACTATTCACAATATGTAAGACAGACCCTGGCTAAAGCCGGGAAAATTGCCAGGTAGACGAAGATTTATTAATCCAACTAATATTATAAATGCGAAAATTTTTGAGTGTGTCTGTATGTTTATTACTTCTTCAAGCTCAAACGGCTGAACCGATTTTGATAAAATTTTGTATAAAGCAAGCTGACGTCCAGGAATAACACATAGGCTACTTTATTTCCCGGAAAATGTTCGACCTGATAAATCCGCGGGTAACAATCTCGTCTTAATGATTACGGTTGCTATAAAGTAACCGAAACGTCGGGAGTATGTAGTTTATAATCAAAAATAAAGTCGCGTAGTATAATCCGAAAAATATAAGTTTCATTTTAATAATCAAAAATATGTTTTGTTGATAATATAGATAGGATATAAATTTTAATATGTAACAAATTTAATTCCGTTTCTTAACAGCTTTGATGAAGTGAAATTTGATATTAACTGTGTATGTCAAAGGGCATGGAGACATGTCTCAATTATTATTTATTTGTATAATAATTATAATAGAACCAGTAATAGTAAGAAAAGTAAAGTATTACATAGTGACAGGAATAATATTAATATAGTATAAGTTACAACCATGAATTAAGTGTTGGTTAGTTTTAATACTAAAGAAAGACTGTTCATTTGTGTGTGTGCATTTTATTTGTGTGTATGTATGTATATATGGTACTAATAGTTCTTATACATTTTTGATTAGTGTTACTGTCTGTGCCATATTAAAAATATGTGTCCATTTGTAGCCTATCAATCTCTGTAGTGACATGATCGGATAAATCCCAAAACCTGTCAATATCTATATTTTCTTTACTTATAGAACAGCTTTTCAACTAATATTAACTGATATAAAGACATTAGGAAATCTACACTATGATAGTATTGACATTTTCAACAATAACCTAAACCTATAAAACAATTGGTATCAATTAACAGCCAATAATAGTGATTAAATCTATTTTCTTATCCATTATTGAGTTCCTCACTTCACCAGTTTATAATTCCATTTTATTTTTTATTGCTGTAACTTGTTCATATTTTTCCATGTAAAATATTCTTTCTATTTATTGTAAGCTAGTTTTTGCCCGCGACTTCGTCCGCGTTAGTTTGGTCAAGAGTAATATATGTAGGTATAGCTGACTAGGCGAACTCTATTCCGTCTTAGAGGCCATAAATAATCACGTTTTTCCTGTTTCAATCAAACAGAATGATTGACATATCAGTTAGTTGTCAAATCTAATGTCAAAAAAACGTTTGTATGGGAAATTGAAAAGGGCTGTTTTTAGGGTTTTCCCAGCAATTATTCCCATTTTTCTCACCTTTTAAACCTTTCCTAGACTTCCATGAGTATTTGAAAACTAAAATTAGGAACAGCAATCCATTTTTATATATATATAGAAGATGTCTTTTCTTATATGTATACAATGTATTTTTAAGTGTAATATTTAGTCTATAATATGTGTTCACATAGTTCTTGGGTTATAACTCATCTTATTTATAATGTTTACTTAACAAGTAATTGTATCTTAAGTTATAATCTGTTTTGTGATCCATAAATAAATAAATAAATACGGTTTCTAAGATGCAAACATATATGTTTTATATATATATTAATTTCCTCACCCAATACATCCCGATCACTGACTGTAAGCAATTCAGATATAGCTGGCAGCGCGGGTGATACAAGCTCAAAACGCACAAGGGGATTCTTATTCCTGCAGAGATTACTATACGTCCAGACAGCTGTTTTTAGAGTGGCGAGTGGCGCTCCAATCGAGAGGTGAGGCAGCAAGGCGGGTAATGCCGATGCAGCTAATACAGAGTCTCGAGGTATGGGCCCGTCTCCAGCTATGTTTCCAAGAGCCCACGCGCTTTGTTCTCCCACTGCGCCACCGACTGATAGGAGATTCACCAATTTCGGGATAGCACCACCCTGGAATAATGACGTCATTATAAATATTTGATATCTGTAATATCTATATAATAAATCAACTATCAAATCAGATTTAAAGATGTTACTCAAATATTTTGCATGCTATAACAAGATGAAGAAAAAAGAACATGATCTAATATAAAAACTCATCAATTTTTTAACATTTCTCTTAATCATATTTTCCCCGCAACTTCGACCGCGTGTAATATATACAGGGTGACTGGTGAATTACTATCAATACTTTAGGACGTGATATTTGACGATCTTATATGACAAAATAAAAATTAATATAACATAAATATTAATAAACTCCTAAGTAAAGTTAACCAAAAGTTGTGTAATTAATTACGCATCGTGTGAACACCCTACAGATTAGGTATACACACACACTCAGCACTCACACTGTATCAGCACGCCGCCGCACGCGTCCACACTTGGAACACTTGGAACGTGTCAACACTTTATATATTTATACGGAAATTTGGTCAAAAATTAAGTACCTATTTTTTTTACATAATTCGAATGAGAATCATGTACCGAGTATGCTCCTTAAATATTGATAGTAATTCACCAGTCACCCTGTATATACTAGAAGACCCGGCGAACTTCGTATCGCTCTACAATCAAGAAATATCTGTTACGTTTTTTTATTTATATTTTTGGAGTTTACCTTTAAACTATAAATCTCCGTGTTTTGAAGTGCGACAGAATGATTGACATATTAGTTAGTTGTCAAGTCTAATGTCAAAAAATCGTTTGTATGGGAAATATATAGAATATAGATATAGATATATAGATATACTCACTTCTATAACAGCTAATGTATGATCATGAGTCCCAGACGCTATATTAGTGATAGCCCAGGCCGCCTCAAACTGGAGATCGGGGCTGAAACATTAATATAAGTACATATATTAAAAAATATAATATACTTAACTACTACCTGGCTATTTCCCAGCATAAGCCAGGGTCTGCCTTACATGTTGTGAATAGTTTTGGCTATTTGCTTTACGACCGGCCGTCTGCCTGATATCAACCCTCTTTGGGAATGCATTAATCATAAATTAAATACATACTTAAATTATAGTTATATACCTACCGCCATATATTATGGTGAGTACAAAAGTTAATTATTATTGGCATTTATTTGTTAATTAAAAGATTTATATATTTTTGATGTATAACTTCTTTAAGCACACTTGATTTGGGAGTAAGCTGATGAATGCGTAACGAAAGCGTTACGAAAAGTGTGATCGGGCGAGGGGAACGAAAGTGAGGGAGATATAAGTTAGTGAACATAATAACAGTATTAGAATTCGTGTATTACTGTAGCGGCAAGAAAGACAGCAGTGTGTTCACATCCCTACTAATATTATAAAGGCGAAAGTAACTCTGTCTGTCTGTCTGTTACGCTTTCACGCTTAAACCACTGAACTGATTTTAATGAAATTTGGTACAGAGATAGAGTTGACCTTGAGAAAGAACATAGGATATAGTTTTTATCCCAGACTTTCGAAAGGTTCTCTTGGAAACGCGATATAACTGAACTCCACGCGGGCGAAGCTGCTGGCGAAAAGCTATTTCTATATATATTTATATCTCAGTCAGTAGTTTGTTTATAGTTTTCTCAAGATATCTTTCTAATCTTTATTTGAAAACATATGTATATTATTTTGTACTAAAAATTATTATCCCATACAAATTAATTACTTCTTCTACCTGGCAATTTTTGCCTAACATATTGTGTATAGTTTTGGCTAATTGTTTTTACGACCGGCCGCCTGCCTGACATCAACCCTCTTTTGGGATACACATTAATCAGTGATGTCTAAATACTCTTATAAAGTACATATGACTCGGATAAATCACATTGGTACTTGCCCGGGCCAGGATCGAACCCGCGCCCTAGGCAACGAGGCGGGCCTTTTAACCACTAGGCCACTGATTTAAATTAATTACTGTCCAATCTAATATAAATTTCCACTATATCGAAGTACCTACCAGTCATCTCTATCCAATGAGCTAACCAAGTGTGGAATAACTCCGGCATTAACCATCACAGTAATAGGAGGATTCTGTTCTCGGGATAACATTCTACGAGCTGCCCTCGCTGATGCAGTCTTCACCGATAAATCAGATGACTTCAAACCTTGAATGAAAATATACTTAATTATTATTACAAATGGGATAAAATTAACGGGATTTGAATAAGCAAATGAATTAAAGTGAGTTAACAACTAAACTAATGTTTTTCAAAGTAATTAATAATTATAATAGTATTAAAATTTGTGTAATATTGAAAAAAAATTGTTGACAATAATTGTATGTATAGTATCCATATATTTGATTCGTATTAAATTTTATATACTTATGAATTTGATCAGGTAAAGAAATTTAATTAATATACATATATATAATGATTAAATATAATGATTGTTACAAGAACATAGAGTCTAGATGTGAGAGGTAAAATAATTAATTGATTGAAACTAATTATTTTATTTATATATTATAATAATTAGAAATTATTTTATTTCTCAAAAATCTCTTAATCTTGACTCGGAGACAAAGAAACTACATCAGGGCTTGATTGATTTAGAAATAATAATTATAAAAAACTGCCATCAATTTAAAGAGTAATAATATAATGAAAATTTTGTCTAATAGCCTATGAAAATTTTGTCTTATAGTAGCCTGAATTATTCCATGACATTGTCTACCGTTAAGGGAAATTCTCATCAAAATCGGTTAAAATTTAACAATTATCTTACTTTATCACTGTAGCTGTAATTATAATATTATTAATACTTAATAATTAATATATATTATACTTAAAAGTGTTAATAAATTTATAGAATAAGTTATTATTTTGATTCTGGCTAGAATCAATAATTATTCTGATTTATATTATGTACATTCATATCATTAATTTTCTATAGTTAGTAACATAAAATAAACCCCATGAATCAGTTTAATCAAAATTTATTTCATTATATCAAATTATTTGTATTCTTAAGTTATTTAAACTATACCTTTCTTATAAGGAAAAAAAGAGAAGAGATTGACTATAGTCAATTTATATTTATTTCAATGGGATCTTTAAGGAAAATATATGTAACACTTGATAATTAAGCATATATTTAAATATTAAGCATGAAATTAATTTGTTCAAATAACTTTTCAAGATAACCACATATACCTAGTTTGCTAATAAAAAAGGTGGTTCACTATCAATCATATATACCCACAGACAGAAATTATGAAGCTTACCCTGGACTATTTCGCTTGGTGACATCACCTTTTCAATTTCTGGTTCTTCATTTGTTTCGGGAGACATAGCTCGCCTCTTAAGAAGCTGCTCATCCCGAGCTTGTTTACGTAGAGAGACGCTTAACTCGGCTCTCTTACGACGAAGCTCCTAGAAAATTAATTATATTATTACCACAAATCATGAATATAAAACATTTTAATCAAAGATACTTCCAGTTTTACTAAATTAATAATAAATAAATACCTATATAGTTCTTAATTCTTAACTCCACGTTATCAAAAAGTTTTAGATTGACACAAAGGATTTTTAAATTTGGAATACTCACTGTAACTCCCTGGCCGGCATTTTTGTAGGACGCCAAACGTGATCTATTAACTCCCTCGGACATTTTGAATGCAACAAATATAATAAAATATGAAAATAGTGTGCTTTTTAACAATGAGTAATCGTTATAAAGTATTAACAATCCGACTGTATTCGAAGTTCAACGGTTTGTGCCATTCTCCAATAAACGGCTACCATATGATTCCTGTGTTGCTATAACGAAAAATCTAAGACCAATTATTTTAAAATATAAATATGTTTCATGTTAAATTGAATGGAAAATACCTAAATTTATATTAATTATAAAGCATATTATATATAACAGAATACATTTATATTGATTTCATAGTTTAAGTATTCTTCTTGTTCTTGTTCTAAAAATATTAATAATTAGGGCATATATACAAAATCTTTTTATATTAAATATGTTATCAAAACATTTAATTGTTTTAATAAAACAAAATGATCCGTATTTTTTATAATATAGAAACACTATTGTATTGTTGTCTTTATGGTAACGTAATCGATTTTGTTGTTTCAAATCTTTTCTGACTTTGACGTTGAAATAAAAATGGTACAAAACAAAGCGTATTTACTTTATAAGGTCTTCAAAAACAAAAGACAATCGATATTTAAGATTCTTTTATTCTTATATAGTTATTATGACGTATATTATGTTAATCGGCATAAACTTTTTTCTTCATATACACAAATAAATTTAATTTCTATAAATTACATCATCTAATATATTTTATTATATTTTCCATAGTCTAACATACAAGATGAGGATAAATAAACACAAAAATGATTTTAAAGTAACTTAATTAGTACATTAGTAGATGTATTTCTAATTTTTAAACTTAACTCTATTATTAATCAAACTGCAATGCGCCTGTACGATGGCAGAGTATTAATGCAGTCGAGACGAAGACCTAAAAAAAAATCCTGAATAAAATAAGAACAAGTAGGAGGCGCTTTTTCGACAGATATTGAGTTGTGGGACGGGCTTAACATGCGCAAAGACGAATTAACATGCATTCAAAACTCTTTACATCATCATAAACATACACAAACGCCGTCACTTTCATCCACCGAGCTCACAATACGTAACGGTAGTAAAATATTTTATTAAAACAAGTCTACATGCCAACTTTGGTGTGTAATTACGCAAAGCGTTACGCTTAGGGCGTGACATCACAAATCAGTCGCTGGACTGAAGACAGCACTAGTTAGCTCCGTCCCTCTCTGGTGTTGGTGTTAGAGAGGGACGGGTGACCAGCGGGCCGAGGGCGATCGTATTCCGACGAGGGTGTCGCCATTTTCGTTTTGACGAATATTGACAGCACGGCATACAGCCGCCGCCGTCGACACATAGTCTGCTAGACTATTTTTATTTTGATTGTGAACAATTTATTGTTGAATTTATTTAAAATCCACATATCGATATATTATTATAACGTCAGATAATTAATATAAGCCGCGTAGTGATATATCGTGTACATAGTACGGACTTTTTTGGTGTTAACCTCCTTAGTTTTTTTTACTTGTGTTTTTGAACTGCAAGACGTGATCGATATGTGCAAGATGTATTACAGATGACTCTCTGTTTAATTCAACTCTGCCGTGTTCATCTGGTGAGTGAATATATATTTTTGGACGCAAATATTGCAAATCATAATGATTTTTATTGTAATCGTCCGATATAAATATAATTAGGATATATATAGTGTTAATTGTGCTCGTAAATCGTATATTCTGTTGTAAATATCTCGTCGTTTAGTGTTGCGGTAGCTCCACTTTGTTTACTAGCTGTCACGGCCAGTATACGGTTAAGATATATTGCCTGGGTTGGCGACTATGCGTGGTGTATATGCGCGGACGAATTTATACTCTATCTTCAATAAAATAAAGCACAAAATGCCACGATTGTAACCGCGATAACAGCCCGTAGAATTAATTTATCACACGCCGCGCTTGACAAGTTGAAAACATAAATTCGACCTTGAAGCACCACGTGGTCTGTTGAAATGCTTTCCGTTTTATAATTAATCTGGTAATCGATTTTTTTTTACGATTCAATTGTTTCACATCACTAATTACGACATTGTACTTACGATGTGAAATAAAATGATATTTATTTTTTATAATAATATCGTTTGTTTTTGTATTTAAATAGCATGTGTTAATAATTTGTAATTAATTAATTGATAAATAAATTCTAATTTTACTTTCATTACCTACGTTATAAGTAATATAAAAATATAGTAATGATTTTTATAGTTCGTGTAATGTCTACTTTTGAAATTAAATATTTTTTTACCGTCGCGTCGATCTGTTTTGTCATACAAAGACGTTATAAAGTATTTTTTTAAATAAAATTATTAATAATACGATTACTTAGTTCTATTATTTTCAATAGATTTTCCTGTTTACAGCCATCTTTCTTTGTAATAATTAAAAACTACAATTTCTTACTGTTCTATTTTCCTTAAGTTTATTTTATATTCAAATTCATTATTGTCTATTGTTGTTACGTTTTTTTGCGATGAAGAAAAAAATAAATATGTCAATTAAACAATATTTTAACATCGACTTAATTATAAATTTGTAATAAAATTAATTTGAAAACAAATAATTTTATCAGTTACTCTAAGCAATAAAAATTAACTAAATGTATTAAAATAAATTATTGTACATATATATTTAATTTGACTGGGATCTTTTGTATTGTTGCTATCTTATGTATAGGTTTTTAAAAGATAATAAAATCAATTCATATGGAATATTTGATCCAAAATTTTATATAAACATACCTACTATCAATAAAAAAGTCAAATTAACTGGCGTTATATATTATCAAATTAAACATATTTTTATCAATCAACATGTTATATAAATTATCATAATTTTATCTGATAATTCACAGATTATTTCATATTTTGTTAAATAACAATATACAATTATTTACAAAAGTATGAATAACTATTTCAAAATGTATTTTCTGTTTATGTAATATGTATTATGTATATATTTATAATTATTTGTATGTAACAAGTATATGAACAAAACGGTCTTTAATTTTAACTTAAAAAATATATAAAATTACTAGTTTTTGCCCGCGACTTCGTCCGCGTTATTTTCGTTATTAGTAATATATGTATAGCTGACCGGGCGAACTCTATTCCGTTTTAGAGGCCATTAATAATCAGGTTTCTCCTGTTTCAATCGAACAGAACGATTGACATATTAGTTAGTTGTCAAATCTAATGTCAAAAAAAACGTTTGTATGGGAAATAGAAAAGGGGTATTTTAGGGTTTTTCCAGCAATTATTCCAATTTTTCTCACCTTTTATACCTTCCCTGACCCTCCACGAACATTTCAAGACTAAGATAAGATAAATCCGTTCAGCAGTTCTCGAGTTTTAGCGAGACTAAGGAACAGCAATCCATTTTTATATATATAGAAGATAGAAGATTATATAAAAAGTCAGTGATAGCCTAGTGGTTAAAGGTCTGTCTCTCATACATGAGAGTGCGGGTTCGATCCTGACAAGTACCAATGTGAATTTTCCGAGTCATATGTACTTTATATTTAGACATCACTGACAGATGAAGGAAAACATCGTAAGGAAACATGAACTTATAATCAAATTATAAGTTTGAAATCACCAACCCGTCTTGAGCAAGCGTGGTGATTAATACTCAAACCTTCTCCATGTGAGAAGAGGCTCAGCAGTGGGCTCTGATAGGATGATGATGATGCAAATAGTATTTTTCACCACATTAGGGTACTTCCAAGTACCAATATACAGGGTGACTGGTGAATTACTATCAATATTTAAGGAGAACACTCGGTACATGATTCTCATTCGAATTATGTAAAAAAAATAGGCACTTAATTTTTGACAAAATTTCCGTATAAATAAATAAAGTGTTGACACGTTCCAAGTGTTCAAGTGTGGAGGCGTGCGGCGGCGTGCTGATACAACACTACGTCGCGACACGCGTATGTGTGAGTGTGTGTGTATACCTAATCTGTAGGGTGTTCATACGATGCGTAATTAATTACATAACTTTTGGTTAACTTTACTTAGAAGTTTATTAATATTTGTGTTATATTAATTTTTATTTTGTCATATATGATCGTCAAATATCACGTCCTCAAATATCGATAGTAATTCACCAGTCACCCTGTATACTATATTCAACTATCAGCCAATTCATAACAAATTTCAAGATATTACTCCGGATATTTCTATGGCTGAGATGCATTTTTTGTTTTTACCGGCACACCTGAAATTGGTCTCTAAAGTATTTAACAAGAATTAATTCATTCAATTGAACAAGTCACTTGGGAATAAGTTATAAGAATGATTTGAATTCACAAAATATAATATATAAGGGCATTGACCTTACAGTTTTAGTGGATAATTTAGGTGCATGATGTATATGTATGTATTTGTAAAGAGGATTTTGGAGTCTGAATGTACTAGTTGGACGATTTGATAGATGAAAGGCGAAATTTCACATCATTCTATGTATTCACGGGGCGTGTGTCGGGTCCATCGTTGTAGTGAGAGGAGCTTCAACAGTGACTGGGACTTGTGACCCAGGTGTAGGTTTAATATATATAGAGAGACGAAACCTCTCATCATTCAATGTATTCACGGTGCATGTGTCGGGTCCATCGTTGTAGTGAGAGGAGCTTCAACAATGACTGGGACTTGTGACCCAGGTGTAGGTTTAAGGGACCCCTATATAATTCTTATTTCAAGTCTATTTTATTTGCAATGAATTCACATGAAAATTCTTTCATGACTTTTATATTCTTTTGTTTGAATACATATTAACTGATATTTAGATATAAACTTAAATATAAAAGATAAATTGATTTTCATGAAGCTTATCGTTATACAAACCTATTAAAACTATTAAACATAATTAAAATCTATACAGCCGATTGGAAATAATTATAATCAGTGATGAAACGCGATCTTATACATTATGTATGTAGCACATACTATTGTTTTATATATACTAGCTGTTACACGCGACTCCTTATAG